CACTCCCATTACTGGTTGTTGGGGAGGCCTCACATGCCAGTCAGGGTAGAGACGGAATCCAGAGGTTTGTCTGACTGTATTGAAAATTCTCCTGACCCTACACTCCTTTCATGTGTTCAGTAATCCATAAACAGTTTTCTTAATTCTTTAACTGAGACATGATAGTCTATCCTCAGCCACCAACAGCATTTGGTACTACAACTCATGTCCAACCTGGCTTTAACACACCTTTTTAGTTTATGTCCCCTCTAGATCTCCCTTTACACCATGCTCCAGCCAAAGGGCACTTCTTCCTTTGCTGGGCCATAGTCTTCGCTCTTGCTTAGGCTTTTATTAATTTCTTGCTGACATGGCATGAAATCTGATATCAGCGAAGATAATATACACTCCTAATTCACCATAAAAAAACATCAGTGTCACATTTGTTAGTGGGCATTAACATTTAAAATAAGTCACTACACAAGAAAACTTGAAATGGCAGAAAAATTACAGCTTATATATAAAAAAGGAACTACAGTGTTTTTAGATTTGATGAGAATTCTAAAAATATATATGTCATTACTAATAATGGAGTTTGAAGCTGAAAGTTTTCTAAACTATCAGTAACTATAAATATTGGCTAATAATATTTCCCTCACAATGGTGGAAAGACTGAATTTGCACACTATTCTTGCCAAAATAGTGATATAAAAGTTGTTAAAGGTCAGGCACAGTAACTCACACCTGTAATTCCTTTGAGAGGCTGAGGTAAGAAGATTGCTTGAGGTCAGGAGTTCAAGACCAGCCTGGGCAACATAGTGAGACCCCCATCTCTACAAAAAAAGAATGTTGTCATGTGCAGCAAAAATTACAGTAGAAGTAGTATAAGGTGTATCAGAGGTTAATAAATGAAATATTTTTTCTGGATTTTCTGATTTGCAGAAAGTCTTTGAAAACTGTTCTTTTGTAACCTTTAATAAATATTTGTTTCATACCTAATTTTTTTCTATCCTTAAAGAGAGTTCCACAAAATGTGTAAGATTTAGGCCTGACCAGGCATGGTGGCTCACACCTGTAATCCCAGCACCTTGGGAAGCTAAGTCATGAGGATTGCTTGAACCCAGCATTCAAGTCCAACCTGGACAGCATAGCAAGACCCCATCTCTACAAAAAAATAATTTTAAAAACGAGCTGGGTGTGGTGAACATGTGCCTGTAGTCCCGGTTATTCAGGAGGCTGAGGTTGAGGATCACTTGAGCCCAGGAAGTCAAAGCTGCAGTGAACCATGACTGCACCACTGCAACACAGCAAGACCCTGTCTCAAAAAAAAAAAAAAAAAAAAAAAAAAAAAAAAAAAAATTAGGGCCCAAAAACTTGGGTTTGTCTCTCATGTTTTTTCCCCTAACCCGTTTCCCCAATCCATTTTCTGTAACCCATTTTTTTCTAACCCAATAGCTTTTGGTTTAAGCTGTTCTGTTAGTTACATACTGCTTTGAATGAACATATTGCTTTGTTATATGAATTTTGAGTGGTTACATTAATGCTTTAAATGAACCAGAGGGTGACAGGAGCACAGACTGGATAGAGTTCTGCTGGGAGTGACCAGGTTTGTATTCCTACCTCTAGCTGTGTGTGTCTTGAATCCTAGTGCCTCTTTCCACTAGGTAAGTAAAGTAGTGCCTTCCACTACATGGTGTGCAGTGATTGTTCTGTGGCTCTGGGTTCTGTGGGCCTCTGATAACTATATGAAAAATATTCTTTCTCTTTACTCTGTTATTTTTAGTTTGGCTAATAGGAAATGAATGTGGTTATTGGAACAGCAGAAAGCAAATAACCAATGACTTCTTGCCTTACTGCTTAAATTTGCTTATCACTCTATTACCTGCATCATTGAGGCTTCCTTATCAGTATTGTTAAGTATTAAATATATTAATAGAAACTCTAACAAATCAATTGCTGTGAGTTAAAGAAAAGCAAAGGAAGTTTCTGGGGCCAAAGGAGCCCAAGCAAAAATCAGAATGCAATAGTAAATGTGGCTCTGGGAAGTAACAAGCCAGGTTGATGGATTACATTACACCTAAAGCAAAATTATCATCGTCAGAGACCTAGCCATCCCAAGTAACAGCTTAGGTCTGCGGTTCTCAATGCCAACTGAATATTAGAATCACCTGGACTTTAAAAATTAAGTGTCCTGCCCTGCTCCCTTCTGAGAGTCTGATTGCGTTTCCCAGGTGATCCTATGTGCAATTAGATCTGAGCACCTCTGATCTAGGTGTTATGCTTTCAGGGGCAGTGGAGAGGCTGGATGCTTATAAAGCTTCTCTTAAACAAAGGCTAATATCAGAGCTGGATCCATTTAGTAAAAGAATTCAGTTAAATATAGCTCTCCCAGAAGGAAAAGTATTTTAAGCTATTATTAGTCATTTATACTTCAGTGCAACTCTGTTCAATAAATAGAAGTTTCTGTGATGATGGAAATGTTCTATATTTGTGCTGTCTACTTTCTTAGTCCACTAGCCTCACGTGTCCATTGAACACTTGAAATGGGGCTAGAACAACCGAGTGACTGAATTTTAAAATTTGTTTTAATTCATTTAAATTTAAATTGTTGCATGTGGCTAGTGGCTACCATGTTGGTCAGTGCAGTTCCCGTGTGAATGGGTAATGAGTAAAGCGATAAAGTAGGGGTTACTGCATGCCTGGGGAGAGGAGTCAGAAGGACACCAGAGGATGGAAAAAAAAAAAAGGGAGTAAATGAGGTCAGGTTCACTGTGAAAACTCCATAGGGAGAGCAGAGGAGAAGCTATAGCAAAATGTGGCTTTGGGAATGCCTATCACTCTTGGTGCCACCCCAAAATAATGTTGAAGAGGAATTTCTGAGCTGGGGACTTTGGCTCTGATCTGCCCCACCTCTCTTCTACAGACCAGTGACTGACCAAATAGTAAAGCTCACAGAAGCCTTTGCTGCTGGGAACTGTTACTAGGAAAGCGGCAAAGAGAAGTGGAAAGAGTAAGGCACTGGTGCTTACAAGCCAATAAAAAGTCACCTAGTATCTCGGAATCACTGTTGTTTCATAGCACAAGTGGTAAGATATAAGTGTCTACTCAGTGCCATTCAACACATATTATGTTGCCAGATCATATCAGGCTATAGATGGAAGCCCCTTGGACCCTAAGAGAACCACTGAAATTATTGATTATTCCTGTGGAAAGAGCTGATCCCACTTAAATACTACCCCTTCCAGAGGTATTGTGAAAGAACTTCCATAGGTGCATGGTGGTTCAGTGGTAGCATTTTTACCTGCCATGCGGGAGGTCCAGGTTTGTTTCCTGGCCCATCCAACATGTCATCCCATTTTGGCTGGGTGCGGTGGCTCACGCCTGTAATCCCAGCACTTTGGGAGGTCAAGGCAGGCAGATCACTTGAGGCCAGGTGTCCGAGATCATCCTGGCCAACATGGTGAAACCCTCTGGTGGTGCACTCATGTAGTCCCAGCTACTCAGGAGGCTGAGGCATGAGAATTGCTTGAACCTGGGAGGCAGAGGTTGCAGTGAGCCGAGATTGCACCACTGCACTCCAGCCTGGAGGACAGGGTAAGGCTCTGTCTCCAAAAAACAGAGAAAAAAAAGGAACTTCCAGGCCGGGCGTAGTGGCTCACGCCTGTAATCCTAGCACTTTGGGAGGCCGAGGCGGGTGGCTCACGAGGTCAGGAGATCTAGACCATCCTGGCTAACACGGTGAAACCCATTTCTACTAAAAATACAAAAAATTATCCAGGCGTGGGGTCGGGCCCCTGTAGTCCCAGCTATTCGGGAGGCTGAGGCAGGAGAATGGCGTGAACCCGGGAGGTGGAGCTTGCAGTGAGCAGAGATAGCACCACTGCACTCCAGCCTGGGCGACAGCAGGAGAGTCTGTCTCAAAAAAACAAAACAAAACAAAACAAAAACCAAAGAATTTCCAGAGATATGAAGAACATGATGTCTGTAGATGTCAAGACTGGAAGGAATTTTCTAAGCATAAATCTTGGTCCTATGATGTTACAGGCCAAAAGAATGAGGCTCATGATCAACTCAGTATACCACTGGAGGCTATATGAGTAAGCAACAAAACTGTTTGTCATAAATGCAGAATGTTGGCAAACTGACAAAACTGCGTCTGCCACCCAGAAGGAATGCTGAGGGCAGTCACGCCCCAAGTGCAGTGTTTCTTGTGATTAGGTATATCTGAAGCCTGTTAGTAACAATACGAACCTGTGATCAATTAAGCAGCTGACCAGTCCTTACCTCCTCCTCTTTGCTCTTGTTACCCAATAAATAGGAGCGGCTGTGGAAGCTCAGGGACTGCCTTTGCTCACTAGAAGTGGGGAGCTCTCTTTTTCTTCCCTGGCTCCCCTTCCTTCAAAAGTTTCTTTTGTTTTTTGTTATAATTTCTACGTTTGTCCCTTGGTTCAGTTTGTAATGACAATCTCAGGCAGTAACAACAGTAACTGCTATAATCACGGTCTCAAGTAGTAACCATGGCAGTCGGCTACACTATGACAGAGCCTATGGCAGGCCAGTCGGTAACACTTTGTAGATGGCTACCTACGCTATTAATTCTCATGAACTGTTCTTTGACTCTAGTCTTTACCCTATTCCATAACTAGGGAGTTGATTGCATCAGTCTCTGCAAAACATTTTTTAAAACTTGACAATATGCATTGACAATGAGTTTATCTAGTTAAATCATTCCTATTTAAATACCTGGTTAATGATATTTGGGTCTTATATCTACCCTCAAATCAATTTTATATTTTTAATGACACTACAGGTCAATTCCTTTTAAGAAAAATTGGCAAAGAAAATATTTTCATGTTTTATTTGGATAATGGTCCCAGAGCGCCCTGGCACACATTTTGACAGAGTGAAAAAAGTTCAGGAAAAAACCCACAAGCATAATTAAAACAGAGGGAAAGGTAAAATAAACAATAAGTCTTGGATAGAAGCGAAAGTGTGACCATTTGCAATAGCAAAGAGTATACCTGGCCGTCTTTCACAATTCACCTAAGGAGTTGCTAACAGATCTTGCACGGTGGCTTGAACTCTAGCATATTCCTTCTGATCTTGACCATGAAGCAGTCCTCCTCAGTCTCAACAGCCTCACATTACATGTGTGAGGCCCAGTCCCAAACCAACGATCTAAAGTCCTTAGGTGCAGCACCCTTCCTACTTACTCTTTCTGATTCCAGAACTCTGACCTCTTCTTCCTCAGCTGAGTAGGGCCACAGTTTTCTTTCTGGTTTCATTCTACCTCTTTGTGCTCTGCTCAGAAAATTTTCTCCAGGCACAGAGCTAGCATGAAGTGGGAGTCATCTCATGAGATTCTCTTCTGTTAGGGATTGAAGGCTTGCACTGTCAATGTCCAAAGTCCACTGTTTGGAAATCATTGCTTCACATATTTTGTCCAGTCTTTTAGCTTTATGTTTCGTATAGGTAAAAGTGAAAGTCATTACTGTTTGATAAGATTTTTAACAAACCATTGCAATGTTTATAAGAGACATCAAAATACAGTGAATACAATAAAGAGATAGAAAATGATAGATTAAAAAAAAGACTACCAAGCAAAGCTATTGAAGCCTTATTAATAAAATATACATTCCAGCAGCATAATGATAAGCAAAAGGATTACTTATATATTGCTAACGGGAAAAGTTTATAGGAAAATATAACAAAGATGAACTTGTATGAGCTTAAAAACATAGCCCCGCACAAAAAACAAAATATTTAAACACATAGAGAAATTCCATCAGAGTTGGACATTTTAGCCCACCTCTTCCCATAATTAATTGATAAAGTAGATGAATAATTAATTGATATGAACATATATTTGAAAAATATGATTTATAAACTTTATCTAATGAACAGATGCACAACTCTGCACCCAGAAATTGAAGGTACACATTCTTTAAAAACACACATGGAATATATATAAATGTTGAACACTTAATAATTAATAGTAAGTTTTATCAAACAATATAATCATTTATATTTATTAATTTAATATATATCAGAATGAAAACCCTCTTCTAGATTATTTTGACTCTAAGAAAAAATTATAATGTACATTAGAAACTAGAGCAAAACAATGATGACCATATTATATTAAAAAATGTAACCTGCAGCTATAAAAGTGTCCATAGAAAAAGGTATAATGTTAAATACTAGCATGAAAAGAAAGGCTGAAAACCATGGGTAATCAACAACTCATAGTTTAGAAACAAAACAACCCCAAATGTAGGAGAAAGAAAATATTGACAAGAGAAAAAGAAAGTAAACAAAACAAAATAGATAGGACCAATCAACAAATACAAACCCCAAACATTGTCTACGAAGATGAACAAACCTCTGTTCATTCACATCAAAAGTGATTGATGAAAAGGGCACATTATATTTAAAATAGAGATTTTTTTAAACACAGAAGACTACATGAATAATTTTATCTTTGATAAATTTTAATACTTAGATAACACTTAGATAAACAATTTCTTGGAAAAATATTAATTTAACTTTAAAAAACTAAACTTGTATTTTTAAATCCACTTATCATTAACAAAAGAGAAAGAAAAAGTCCTGAAAAACACCACACAACAATGTTTTTCTTGGCAAATTATATGTAATCTTCAGGTAACATATAATACCTGTCTGAAAAACTGTTACAGAGGATAAAAATAAGGCATAACTCCCTAATTTATATCAAGAAGTTAGGGTGGAGTGGACAAAGAGAATATGAAGTAAAACATTCTAAAGTTCTCATAGGGGTAGGAAGAAAAGTTATAGGAAAAGGATGGTGAAAGTTTTCTAACATTGTTATGATATTGGGATGGCAGAAAAATAAGGAAAAATGAGCATATTAAATGGTAAACTGAAATTTAGGGGGACATGTTTGGGTTATTTTTGATTGATAATGTGAGCAAAAAAAGGTCAGCCATTGATGAAATGTAAAATTACATCAGAAATTCTAAAACAAGGTAATTAAAAAATATTTAAAAAATACAAATACAAATTTGATCAACCCACAGCAATAATAAGCAATAAAGATATGAGAAAATAATACAAGTAATAAACCTGAAGAAAGAAGGAATACATTAAGAATAATCCAAATCTCATGTTGAAATGTAATCCCCAGTGTTGGAGATGGGGCCCGGTGGGAGGTGTTTGGGTCAAGAGAGTGGATTCTTCATGAATGGCTTGGTGCCATCCGCACAGTAATGAGTTCACCCAAGAGCCAGTTGTTGCTCTTGCTCCCTCTCTCACTCCCACTCTTGCCATGTGAATGTGTCTGCTCCTCCTTTGCCTTCTGTCATGAGTAAAAGCTCCCTGAGGCCCTTACCAGAAGCAGATGCTGGTGCCACACTTCTTGTACAGCCTGCAGACCTGAGAGCCAATTCAACCTCTTTTCTTTATAAATTACCCCATCTTGAGTATTCTTTTATAGCAATGCTAGAATGGCCTAACACAACCATGTATAAAACATGCATGTCATGTATAAAATGTAATTATAAACAAAAGGATTACTTATATACTGCTAACAAAAAATTCATAGGAAAATATAACAAAGCTGAACTTGTGTGTGTTTAAAAACACAGCCCCCAAATGCAAAAAACAAAATATTTAATTAAACACATAGAGAAATTTATAAATAGTGCATTCCATCAGAGTTTATAACATGAACAGACATTTCTCAAGAGAAGACATACAAGTGGACAAAAAACATAAAATCAACATCACTAATCATCAGAGAAGTGCAAATTAAAACCACAATGAGATATCATCTCACACTGGTCAGAATGGCTATTACTAAAAAGTCAAAAAATAATAGATACTGGTAAGGCTGTGTAGAAAAGGTAATACTTATACACTGCTGGTGGGAAAGCAAACCAGTTCAGCCACTGAGGAAAGCAGTTCAGAGATTTCTCAAAAAACTTGTAACTATTAGGTTGGTGCAAAAGTAATTGAGGCTTTTGCTATGATTTGCAATGGTAAAACATGCAATTACTTTTGCACCAATTTATACTATTCAACCCAGCAATCCCATTACTGAGGGTATATCCAAAATAAAAGGAATTGTTCTACTAAAAAGACACATGCACTCACATTTTCATCACAGCACTATTCACAATAGCAAAGACATGGAATCAACCTACATGCCCATCAGAGATGGACTGGGTAAAGAAAATGTGCTGTATCTACATCATAGAATACTACACAGCAATAAAAAAGAATAAAATCATATTCTTTGCAACAACATTGATGCAGCTGGAGACCAACATCCTAAGCAAATTAACTCAGGAACAGAAAACTAAATACCATATGTTCTTACTTACAAGTGGGTGTTAAACATTGGGTACTCATGGACAAAGAAGGCAACAATAGATTCTGGGGAATATTGGAGGTGGGAGAAGGAGGCAGACAAGGGTTGAAAAACTTCTGGGTACTCTAGTCACTTCCTGGGTGATGAGATCAATTGTACTCCAAACCTCAGCATCACACACTATCCATGTAGCAAACCGGCATATATATCCCCTGAATCTAAAATAAAGGTTGAAATTACAAAAACCAACAAACAAAAAACCAACACACAAAAAACAGGAATACCTGTCATCACACTAAAATTAAATGGACCATATTCAATTCTTCTGTTAGAGAGAGTATTTCAGGTTACATCTTACAAGAAGTCCGCAGAGTTAGGAAACACAGAATCAGCTTATTTTTAAGCAGTATATTAGTTGTATTGTTTTAAGCAGTATATTAGTAAGTTTTTTTTTTTAACTTAAAAAAAAAAAAACCCTTCCAGCACATTTTCAAGTGATGCATGTCTGGATTAAAAGCGCTGGCTTTAATTTTGAATATGACCTGTTCAGAAGTTTAGAAACACAACAAAAGTAATGTATTTATTTTACCTTTTTCAGATTAACAATTAAAATTTGGATGTAAAATTTTAATGAGAAAACTTTTGTAAGAAAATCTAGGAGCAGAGAAAATTTTCTTAACCAACACTGAAAATTCAGAATTATATAACAATTTCAAAATTAAAAGCTTCTGCTAGGCACAGTGGCTCAGTGCCTGTAATGCGACTCTTTGAGAGACCAAAGCAGGTGCATCACTTGAGCCCCGAAGTTCCAGACCAGGTTGGGCAATATGGCAAAACCCTGTTTTTACAAAAAATTAGCTGGGCATGGTGGCACACACCTGTGGTCACAGCTACTCAGGAGGCTGAGATGGGGGGATCAGTTGAACCTGGGAGGTTGAGGCGGCAGTGAACCGAGATCATGCCACTGTACTCTTGCCTGGGTGACATAGCCAGATCCTGTCTCAAAAAAAAAAATAAAATAAAATAAAAAATAAAAGCTTTTATATAACAAAACTGTTACAAATAAAATCAAGAGGTGATTATAATGATGGAGAATGTTTGTAATGTGGATGTTAAAGCATTAATGTATACTCATACAAAGAGCTATTAAAATTGACAAGAAAATGACAGCTCAATAGAATATCCAATAGCATAACCTAGGAGTGCATCATAAACCACAGAGGAGTTAACCTAAATAGGCAAGAAACACTTAAAAGAAATGCTTATTTGAAAAAACAAAACAAAACAAAACAAAAACCTAAAAAAAAAAAAAAGAAAAAAAAAGAAAGAACACTTTGTACCCATCAGGCTAGTAAAATTTAACAATGAGCTACAACATCCCATTGTTGTCAAAATGAATCTAAAGATTACTTTCATACTTTCAATGTTAATATGATGTGTTACAACTTCTTGGAAAGCAATCTGGCAAGATGCACTAAAATTAAAAATAAGTATATTCTTGACCTAGCCATCTCTCTTGTGGGACTCTCTCCTAATGAAATATAAGCACTAACATGTAGGAACAGATGTATAAAACTATTTATTGCAACCGTGTTTGAGTGGCAAGAAAACAAGCAAAATGTTAATATCCCCTAACAGGGGAGTGAATGAAGAAATTATAGAATACTTACTCTTATAAACCCTTGTTTATAAAATATTATTCAACCATTAAAAATTATTGCTATACTAGTTTACTTGGAAGTATTTTCATGAGCTACTATTGAGTAGAAAAAAAGTTGCAGAAAATATGTATAACAATATGATCTCATTTTTGTAAAACAATGATGTTTTTAAAAAAATCTTTCTGCACATGTGTTTATACTATATATAGAGAGAAAAAGAAAGGTTAGTGTCTCAGCTCATGCTTCTAGTCCAAGAGTCTAGTATAGTGACAGCTTGATGTATTACAGATCAGAAGGGCATTACAGCAAAGCATTATAGATCAGTAGAGAAACGATGAATGTTTAAGAAATTGTTCTGAACTTACACACACAGACACACAGAGGAGAGAGAAATAGAGAGAGAGAGAGAAAGTTTGAGACCAACTTGTCACTGGAGTGATAGTTTTTGTTACATTGCTTCTTCTGAAAGCCTGGAGCTGGAGCAAAGAAGAAGGAAGCCTGAATGATGTCCCCGCGTGTGTAAGTTTAGAATTTCTGATTTTTGTTATGGGATAGAGGTTATGAGCACATTTATTTATTGAGTTTTAGTATTCAGTAGCTACCTGAGTTCATGACAGGCACTGTTGGTCTTTTATCCAATATCTATTCTCCTCTTATTAACAGAATTTCAGTTTTGTTTGGGGCAACAGTGTACTAGGTTTAAAATATTCTAATCTTCATACTTTTTTGTAGCTGGAGTCACTTATTAACCTGTTCTAGTCAACTGGATGTAAACAGAACTCTACTGGAAAAGCTATCATTTTCCTGATTAAAAGAAATGAATTAAAAAAAAAAAGAAATTGTTCTGGAATAATTAACTGCGGGAGGTGGAAAAATGAAACTAGATGTGTAGTGCACATCAAATAGACATAAAAATTCTGGAAAAAA